ATGAATTAATTTTGGTTGATTCCGTTTTCCAATTAATAGGTGTTATTTGAAATATTTCTTATCAGTCCTAATATGATAATCTTTTAAATTTGGGTCAAGTAAACCATTTAATTTATCATCACACGTATTTCGGTTTTCACTAAGCAATCAATAGTCAATTGATTATAACTTGCCCAATAAAAATCCAATCGATAAGATGATTGAATCTTTAGAAACTAGACAGACAGGGCTTTAATTTGACATATTATACGCTTAATTTGGATAGCTGTAGCCCCACTTCCAAACCATTCATTTCATCATCACACACATTTTGGCTTCTATTGAATAGTCAGTAGTAAATTGATCATAACTTGCTCAATAAAAATCCAATTGATGAGAGGTTTGAATCTTTAGAAACTAGATAAACAGGGATTTAATTTGATATATTATATGCTTAATTTGATAACTGTGGCCTCACTGTCAGACCGTTTCTTTTATCATCACACACATTTTGGTTTCTCCTGTTTCTCAATTTCTACTGAACAGTCATTAATAAATTAGCCATAACTTGCTCAATAAAAATCCAATTGATGAGAGGTTTAAATCTTTGAAAACTATACAGATAGTGATTTAATTTGATATATTATATGCTTAATTTGGATAACTATAGCCCCACTTCTGAACCATTTTTTTTTCATCACACACATTTTAGTTTCCACTTAACAGTCAGTAGTAAATTGACCATAACTTGTTCAATAAAACTCCAATTGATGAGAGATTTAAATATTTAGAAACTAACATACATGCCTTTAATTTGGTATATTACACACTTAATTTGGATAATTGTAGCCCTACTGCTAAACCATTCATTTTATCATCACACATTTCGGTTTCCATTAAGCAGTCAGTAGTAAGTTGACCATAACTATCTCAATAAAACTCCAATTGATGAGATGTTTGAATATTTAGAAGCTAGACAGATAAGACTTTAATTTGATATATTATACACTTAATTTGGATAAATGTACCCTGACTTTCAAACCATTCATTTTATCATCCCACACATTTTAGTTTTCCCTGTTTCTCGATTTCCACTGAACAATCAGTAGTAAATTGGCCATAACTTACTCAATAAAAATCAAATTGATGAGCGATTTAAATCTTTGAAAAATAAAAAGATAGAGCTTTAATTTGATATATTATACAAAGAATTTTGATAACTAGAGACCTATGGCCAAACCATTCATTTTATCATCACACACATAAAACCAATTGAATTTTAGTAATGACAAAGGAAAACAAATATTGATATGCAGTTTTAATTGTATTTGTTATATCTCTTTTTGTTGATATTTTTTTTATGTTACATACAGGTATCGAAAATAGGTTGTTGCTAAATATAACAAATTTTATGTGTATCACAAATATCATCTGATGTTTGTTGTCGAACCATGTAACTTTAGTAAACAATTCATAATATACTGAACCAGTATTATTATCCTTAAAAAAAAACAAATATTGATATGTAATTTTAATTGTAATTGTTCTATATCTTTTTGATGATATCTTTTATATTACATACATATATCATTAAAAGAGTTTATTGTTGAATATAACTAATTTTATTTATTTAACAAATATCAATTGATGTTTTATGCTAAACCATATAGCTTTAGTAAATCATTCATTTTATCATCATATATATTTAGGTTTCCACAGAATAAGTAGTAGTTAATTGACCATAACTTGCTCAATAAAACTTCAATTGATGAGAGATTTGAATCTTTAGAAACTAGATAGACAGGGCTTTAATTTGATATATTATACGCTTAATTTGGATAAATGTAGCCTCATTGTCAAACAATTTATTTTATCATCACACACATTTTGGTTTCCACTTAACAGTTAATAGTAAATTGACCATACCTTTCTCAATAAAAATCCAATTGATGAGAAGTTTGAACCTTTAGAAACTAGACAGATAGAGCTTTAATTGGATATATTATACACTTAATTTGGATAATTTTAGTTCCACTTCTGAACCATTCTTTTTATCATCACACACATTTTGGTTTCTACAGAACAGTCCATAGTAAATTGACTATAACTTGCTCAATAAAAGTCCAATGGATGAGAGGTTTGAACCTTTAGAAACTAGACAGACAAATATTTAATTTGATATATTATACACTTAATTTGGATAACTATAGCCCCACTTTCAAACTATTCATTTTATCATCATACATATTTTGGTTTCCCCTGTTTCTCAGTTTTCACTGAACAGTCAGTAGTAAATTAGTCATAACTTACTTAATAGAAATCCAATTGATGAGCGGTTCTAATCTTTGGAAACTAGAAAGATAAGGTTTTAATTTGTTATATTATATGATGAATTAGAATACCTATAGACCTACTGCCGAACCATTCATTTTATCATCACACACATAAAACAAATTCAATTTTAGTGATGACAAAGGAAAACAAATATTGATATGTAGTTTTAATTATATTTGTTCTATCTTTTTTTGTTGAATTTTTGGACTGATTTTGTTGTTTGATTTGTGGGTTTTACAATTATCGTTTTTCTTTAGGATGCTATCATCAAATGTTTTTTTTGCTATAGGTGGTGGTCAATTCTAATTGCAGCAAATAGATTTATGTCACAGGAACTTTATCTTCATGACTTCTTCAATGTTTCAATTAAGTTGCCTTCAGATTATACTGTTGGAGTTGTTGTTGCTTTTTATGTGAGTTCTCTTCTTAACATTCTTAATTTTTTTTATTTCTAAAATAATAATAATAAAATAATTCATTTTCTCTTCTCAACAATCAAAATCAATTTTTTCCTTTGGCTCTGCAAGTCTCTTGCTTAAAAGTTCACATTTTTCAACAAGTTTTCTCTTTCTTTGATTAATTTATAGACTTATCAATAATACCCAATGGGTTATCCTACAAATTGTTTTGCTTTTCTTGACAAAATTTTAAACTTTTGTAGCAAATGTCAAATGGTAACATATTTGAGAAGAACCATGATGATATAAACTTTGAGTTCAATTTGTGGATATTTTATTTATTGATTTTTTAATTAACAATTCAATATAAAATGAACATCAATATAAAAAATATACATTTAAAACACAAAAAACCAATAATAATGTAAAAATATATATAATAAACATACCCGCGCAACGCAACTTGAAAATGAATATAAGTTATAGAAATTGCGGAACGTCAATATAAATTTTGAGTTTAAATAGTTGATCTTGATAATATTCAAGTGATATTAAATATCATACACGATTCACTACAAAATACTGACATCGAATATCAAAGACATGTCTGCAAAAATAATATCAATTGTATAATGTGATGATCTTGAAAATATAACTAGACCATATAATATCTAGGTGATCTTCTCAAGTTGGATGAATGATTTAATAACATCTACCTATAATTGATATTAATAATTATATACGTATAATTATTAATTTTATTTTAACACAACTTTGTATATATATACAATTTATATTTACTTTAAAATTTGTATAATTTAACACTTATTATGTCTTAATCTAATTAGTTTATTTTGTTAGAATAAATTTGTTTACAATCTATTTCAAAAACATTGAATAAACATACCAGCGCAATGCGCGGGCCTCGTGTCTAGTGTGTCTATAATAGGTAAAGATGTAACATTCTACATCCTTAACAAAGAAATATGGATTCAATTCATAAGGTTTGAAATTCAGTGTATACAGTTTGAGTCATCATAACTAAGTAGATTTGTTCTGTGTTAAGAATGCTCACATAAAGTCTAAAAACAAATTTACACACGTTTGGTCAAACGATTGTTTCTTCTTTTTTACCAACAAAATAATCATAGTTTACTTTTGCAAAAAAAATAAAAATAAAGAAGGATGATGACATAAACACAAGTTATTCAATTGATACATATTTTGTTCCTAATTATTGTTTGTTCATAAATTGAATTGAGAATTGTATAGTCAACTTATCACTATCATTTGGGGTACTATTTTATTGATAATAATATTGTTAAAATTTCCCAAGTTGTGTTAACAAAAATTCATCCCATTCATGTATATCGTGATTTATTATCTTCTCATTATTCATATGTTAACGATATATATGAAGTTACATATCACTTGTTTATTTTATTTACTCGATCGATATTGTTTAATATTAAACATACCCATTATTATTAAAACCATACACTTTTAAGTGAATTTTAGAAAATTATAAGAGATATATATAATATTTTCCAATTATAGTAAATGTATTTTTTTATCAAGTGATCTCATAGAATCTAAATGAAATAAACCTATAAACAAAGTAAACCGTTTTGTTTGATACCAAAAGTCTCCGTATTGCCAAACATTATTCAAATGTTCTAAAATTCGAATGATAAATTTCACGGTTTTTATCAAATAGACCCATAAAGTTTAAAAATTGTATAAGAATAACCCTTTCCTCTAACTCCATTATGTTGCTGTTTGTGGTAGATGAGTGAAATTGTAGTTTTACTCTTATAAAAAAGTGTTGAGATAAAATGATAACTTTAATCTTATAAGAAAATGTTTTGTGAACCTAATAACGATATAACACAGTTAGAATAAATGGGGCATCTACGGTAACATTTTTAAACTTTCAAAGCCCATTTGATACCCATTTAGCGATGCTTTTTTCAAATTTTGAGAGTTTATTTGATAATAAATGCAAAAATTGTCGCGGGCGAATAATAAATTTGAAAAGCTTAAGTTTAGTCTATGATATTTTCCCAATATATTATATACACAAAAATACTTAAACATAACATCTATAACAAACTCAAAAAAAAAAAAAAAAAAAAAAAAAAAAAAAAAAAGTTTAACTGAGTATTTTCTAACACTCCAAACGTTACCTAATATTTTAGGTGTATTCGAAAAACTGTTTTTTCACTAACACCCCAAACTTGAAAAGATAGATTTTTTGTTGTTTTTGTTTGTTCCCGGGTGGTATCTAACAACCACGAAAGTTATGCAACTTCCAAAGATTCCCCACCTGGCTTTTAGGCTTTTAGCAGTTAGCCTCGCCACTGAATTACTCCACATGCTTTCTGCGTTATCAACTCAACCCCAACAAACAAAACTCTGAACAGAAAGCTCAAAACTTTGCTTTCTTATTGTCACTTTCATGGCTGCCCATTTCCCTTTACTTCACGCCACTTCAGTCAAATTTCGCACAAACGCCATCTTCGGCTCACCGTCGTCGGCTAAACTGAATGGTTTGTTTGTTCTTCATTTCTTGCTTTTTGAAATGAACTTTAAAGCTCAGGTTTTTATGCATATTTTGGTTTTGATTTTGAAATGCTTTCTGGGTTGTGTAGGGACGGTGAAGTTTCGTACGGTGACGTGCTGTTCTTCAAATGGGAGGGAGCGTGAGCCGGGAGATGGTGCAGTGAAGAGAGTGGAGCGGCTTCTTGAAGAGAAACGGAGGGCTGAGTTGTCTGCTCGGATTGCTTCTGGAGAATTTACAGTAGAGTCATCTGGGTATGTTTAGTTTTTAGCTATGAATTTTGAGGTACCTGATTGTGTTTGATTTTAAGTTTTTACTCAATGTGTTTGCTTTAATTGGAAATTCCTTAGAATTATTTGTTAAAGGTGAATTTTTCTGTACCCGGATGAGAATTTCGGTACCGTTACAGGAATTAAGGGTTGATTTTTAGTTTCGTGTAAAGTTGTTCGCTTTAATTGAAACTAATTGTTAAAGGGGAATACTACAGGTACTAAAGGGTTTTGATAACACATGATTATATATTATCAAGGGTCATTCTATGATACTGGTACAGTTAATTTTGTTATAACATCTATAATTTGGCAGGCAGTGTTTGATTTTAATTTTGATTGAAGGTGTTTGCTTTACTTGGAACTACTTGTTAAAGGGGAATGCATATTTTTATATCAAATTATGTGAATGGTTTAGTCTTTAATTTATTTTTTTATTTTCCTTTGGGTTTGTGACATAGTTTTCCATCAGTACTGAAGAATGGTTTGTCGAAATTGGGTGTTCCTCGTGAAATTTTGGGAGTTCTATTTGATTGGATTGATGCTAATGAAGACTATCCAAAGATCCCGGAAGCAAAAGGGCAGATTAGTGCTATCCGAAGTGAGGCATTCTTCATTCCCTTGTATGAGCTTTACCTCACATATGGTGGAATTTTCAGGTTGACATTTGGACCAAAGGTTTGTTTCTTTTGACTAGAATAGAAAATTCTGTGTTATTTTAGAATAATTGAATTTAGTCAATAATTCACGGGCAAAAAACTAATTGTCTTTTCATGAAACCTTGTTGGATTTATTTTATGGCAGTCCTTTTTGATTGTATCTGATCCTTCCATTGCTAAACATATATTGAAAGACAATTCGAAGTCATACTCAAAGGTAAGACGGTTGGCTCTTGGCAAGTTTGTTATCATTTTTCTTGATTGATAAGCTACGTTTTTCCTCATTTCTCATAACTCCTTACTTTGCAGGGTATTTTGGCCGAGATTCTAGATTTTGTCATGGGCAAGGGACTGATCCCTGCAGATGGGGAGATATGGCGTGTTCGACGTCGTGCCATAGTCCCAGCATTGCATCAAAAGGTAACATGGTTTATATACTTTTTGACATACATAAGACCTAAGAGATGTCAAAAATATTCCAGAAAAGGTAGGAGAGAGTTTACTAATAAAAAAGAGGCAATATGTGGTACAAGAAAGAAACAACCATTGGTTATGACAAACGATTTTCATATCAATGCAACCATGGAACTGAAGTACCGTATCTTTGAAAATATTAAAGTAATAGAAGGTACACAACCTATTTGAAGAAGCATTGAAGTGGCAGAATAACATTCTTTTGGCAGGGCCTCAAATTGCTAGCCATATGGCTAACAAGAACTGTCCCTCTTTTTGCTGCTTGAAGGCATTTTGAGCTACTCCAGCTTGAGACAACCTAAAAGAGTGTTTGTCAGAAGTATTTGTATTGACCTGTTTATTTTCATATCCAGTATGTGGCAGCTATGATTAGCCTGTTTGGGGAAGCAACAGATAGGCTTTGCAAGAAACTGGATGCTGCTGCATCTGATGGAGAAGACGTTGAGATGGAATCTCTTTTCTCCCGTTTGACATTGGACATAATTGGCAAGGCAGTATTCAATTATGATTTTGATTCACTAACAAATGATGCTGGGATAGTTGAGGTATGATCACTTCAAACACTGAACCTCATTCTATTACTTTCAATGATTGTAGTTGATGTTCCGTTGATGTTGAATTGATGTCATAGCTTCTCATAATTTTGCCTCTTTATGTGGGCTAGAGCAGGCTGTTTATACGGTTCTGAGAGAAGCAGAAGATAGAAGTGTTTCACCAATACCAGTCTGGGAGATCCCAATTTGGAAAGATGTTTCACCACGGCTAAGGAAAGTCAACACAGCCCTCAAATTGATTAATGATACACTTGATGACCTAATTGCAATATGCAAGGTAAAGTTATTATTCACTGGGATATGGCAAGATTTCGTTGATGTACATCTGTCAGTACAAGTCCATATGTCTTTTAGTGAACATGTATCATGCTTTAACCTCTTCCCTAGGTGTACACAACAAAATAGCAGTTTCATGCAGACAATAAAGCTCAATAAGGACTGCTTTCAGTTAATTTTGGAATGGATTGTTTCTGTCATATTATTTGAAGAATATATATTTCATGTGAATCTCATCGATTAAACCTGATGATACTGACAGTTTTGTATCATGCTCATCTGTGGAACTTCAGCGCCATTATTTGTATCTTACTTGTGGTTCAACTGAATTGTATGTAAACTTTACCTTGGTCACATATCAAATATCAAATATGTGATTCTTCTAATCGTATGAAACCATAAATTCTTGTGTAGTTTGCAGGTCTACTGTCTTCTTTTAGTTTGGCTGCTATTTTCTTTACATGAGTACAAAATTTGATTTAACATCGAGTTGTTTCATTCATTGATGGGCTCTTTTTAATTGGTGCAATGGCAGAGAATGGTTGATGAAGAGGAGCTACAATTTGGTGAGGAGTACATGAATGAACAAGATCCCAGTATTCTCCACTTTCTCTTGGCTTCAGGAGATGATGTAAGTATTATCAGCTTTCAGGCATGCTTTTCGCTAATACAAGTAATTGAAGATTTTCGAACTGTATATAGGTTTCTAGCAAGCAACTCCGTGATGACTTGATGACAATGCTTATAGCTGGGCATGAAACATCAGCTGCAGTTTTAACATGGACCTTTTATCTCCTATCCAAGGTACTTGCAATTAAGCTTCAAGAAAAAAGCTAACTTCTGTCTGGTGATGCTTACTGTTCTTTTCTTTTTCCACGCCTTTGCCCACAGTGTTTTTCTCAACAAGTGTGTCAAAATTACTTCAGTATTATAATCCGTAACTAATCATCTTGAAGCCTTCTAGCATGCAACACTTCTAATTTTCTATTTGTTCCTCTTTCTGTTATCATTATTTTCCTTTCTAATGACTGCAGGAACCTGCTGTGGTGTCAAAGCTCCAGGATGAGGTATCTTATAATTCTTATACGCATAAAATTGAGTTTTCAATCTTGTAATTCATGTATCTATTTACATTTACTTTTGAATCCCTCTAGGTTGATTCTGTTTTAGGAGATCGATTTCCAACCATTGAAGACATGAAGAAACTTAAGTACACAAATCGAGTAATTAATGAAGTAAGGAGATACATATTGTTTGTCACATAATCTTTTTAGAGTGAATATTTTTTTTTTTTTAATTCATTTTGATTTGAAATTTTTATTTCAAACTCTTCGCAGTCCTTAAGGCTCTACCCGCAGCCACCTGTCTTAATTCGTCGTTCTCTTGAGAATGACACACTCGGGAAGTATCCTATAAAAAGGTCATATATCCATAACCTTATGCAATACTACTGTTTCTTTGCTAGTTAGTACATTAATTTTTTTTTTTTTTTTTTTTTTAACTCCATGGGGCTTTTTCTCATTCTTTTCCATTATTGTATAACTGAAGAGGAAAATTGTCTTTTAGCCATTTCTGTTTTTGTCATTAATCTCAATGTTTTTGTTACTACTGTTGAATATATTGTTATGAATGTCCTTTCATTTTCCTTTTAATTCGTAAATAAATGTTTTTTTTTCTCAATTATGTATGTAGATGTCATGTACCACCCTTTTTTTTTTTTTAATGGCCATGTAATTCAGGATATCAATACTGTTCTATCATGTTTCTACAGGGGTGAGGATATCTTTATTTCTCTTTGGAACCTTCATCGTAGTCCTCATCTTTGGGATGATGCCGATAAATTTAATCCAGAAAGATGGCCTCTAGATGGACCCAATCCAAATGAAACAAACCAAAATTTCCGGTGAGTTCTCAACTTAAAAAGACCTTTTATCAATGATTTTTCATACCTTCTGTTAAGTTCTTATCATCCTTGCCACCCCGGTCCAAAAAGAGACTGTGTACTATGATTATATGTAATTTATTCTGACTTGATTAGGGTAGCATTAAACCGATTGCCTTTCTAAATGAAAACGATAACCAGTGTTTTGGAGATCCTCATTAATGCTAATTTTAGTGCAAGTCTAGGCAAATTTAATCAAAACGTGCTACCACACTGCAATATTTTTTGCTCTTAGTTTTCGGTTTTCTCTTTTGTTTTTTAAAATTATCAGGCAGGATTGGATTTATTCTTTTTCATGTGATACCCAATACTTTTGTTACAGTTACTTGCCCTTCGGTGGAGGACCACGGAAATGCATAGGCGATATGTTTGCTTCATTTGAGGTACTTCCATGATCATTATATTTAACTTCTCATTTATCAATAACATTTATGGTGGAAAATTTTACAGCCCTGTTATTTGAACAAGTATGTGTAATTCTTCTCTATTAATCTTGCTTGATACAGGTTAGCTCTTTAGTTTAGGATTTGAGCTACAAAATATTGTGCTTTTGTACATCATTACTATGGTTTATGATTATTTATTGTAAAAACCTATTCATTGTGATGATTTACAGACAGTTGTAGCAGTCGCGATGCTTGTTCGGCGATTTAACTTTCAAATAGCTCTTGGAGCTCCTGCAGTAAGTCACCTACTGTTATTTAGAAATCATTGTTATTAGAATTGATAGTTTATTATGCCATATATTCCAAGGCCTGTGGAGTTTCATGAGAGAATGCATGAAAGAAGTATGATTCCATGGCCATATAGAGTTCCATGGAAGATTTGAGCACCCAACTAGTTTTGGTAGTAGGATTTCCATATTGACACACCCCAATCATCGCTAGGTTACCAATCGTTATCATACTCATCTAGTTCAAGTTTCAATCCAGAATATCATGAAATCTTCAGTTAGAAAACTTAAAAAGAAATTTAAAGAATCAATTGTTTATGCAGGTTAAGATGACCACCGGGGCAACAATCCACACGACGGAGGGATTAAAGATGACGGTAACACGAAGAATAAAACCCCCCATAATGCCAATACTGAAAGAAGATGCAACAGTCAGCTCTTCCAAAGGGGAAACAACAAAACAAGATAACAAAAGTGAGATTTCTCCTGCTCATTCCAACTAACTATAGCCTTGCTACATTTTTAGCATACAGCACAAGAAACATAATCTTGGGAACCCGAAACAAAAAGGAAAAAAAAAAAAAAAAAGAGTAATATAGAGATAAGTGTCTTTAGAAATTAATAGGTTCCACTTCATCAGCTCTTTGAAGCTATTATGTTTGTAAAGTTTACTGTAAAAAATTCCATTGTAAAGTGGCAAAGACTTATTCAAGGAAGAAATCTGGCACTGATCTCCATTTGTAAGGCTTCAAGGTGACAGAAAGTTCAACTTACTTTCACATTTCTTTGTCAACTCACCACAACATTTATGAATCTTCAAAACTGTATTTTACTAATAATTGTGAAAAAAACACAGAATCAAATTCAAAGATTACATCTACAGGAGACCTCATCAACCAAATACTTCTCATTTATGATATATATGATATAGAGTAAGCCATCAAACCAAAGATCATAGAATACATAATAGCTTTCTCTTTACACAAGGACTTTTAGTTCATCCTATTGATATTTACTTTTTACTTTCACAGTTACATTCAAACACCCTAAATTTATGAAACTTACAACATAGCTATGCCATCAAGAATCAGACGGTATAGTTATAATTTGTGGCAAGTTACAACATTTTGCCTAATAGTCCTTTCTATCGTAAGTACCTCCATATTCCGCGTATTAGTATTGGAATATGAATGTAATATATCAATCACTTGCAGTTCTTTTGAACGATATGCATCCGTGAGATTAATTTTTGAAAAAAGTAGAAGCGACATGCAACGGTAATTGAAGTTGGGTGCCGGTAGTTAACCAGAAGAAAGCATACTAGAACCTGGGGAAAAAGCAGTCAGAAATGTGTCAAACTTGAAAAGTCAAGTCAGGACTTTTGCAGATTCATGTATAGCCAAAACATTGTCGCATGGAACAAAATCCTGAACGAGAATGGGGTGACTCAGGCGCTTCATCGGATACTTTTCCGGGGAAATGCTTATAGAAGGCTTTTACTGCACCTGTAACACCATCTTCGTTTTCCATGGCCTTAGCCAGTTCAACAGCGCACTGTTTTACCTGCAGAAAAACAATTTTTATTTTAGGCTTAACATCCAAAAGACAAGCGTAACCTAGAACATAACATACTAGATGAGGGAGGAAAAAAAGTTGGCACTTTATCTCTGTCTGTTTTCTTCTATTTTGCTCATAGTTGAATACTATTACTAAGTTATTGATAAATACTTCACGTAAAATAAAATTCAGCACTGGAATCGCGTATTTTTCTGTGGCAGAATACAAAGATAAACATGTTAAGTTGATCTAAGTTGAAAATTGTGCTACCTTGTCATCAAGCATAAAGTTTATTGCATCAACCAACTTATCAAGCGAAAACTCCTCAACTGGGACTGGTGGAGGGCCCAATCCTTTGGCATGAACCCGTTCTCCCCAAAACGGTTGGTCCCCAAAGAATGGTACAATGGTTGTTGGACACTATTTCAGAGAAAACAATAAATCATCTTCTGTGAACGAACCAATCACAAAACAGGAGTCCATGAAGAGGCAATATATTGAAAAAAAATAACAAAAAAAATTACCGCGGCTTTAAGACCAGCAGCAGTTGTTCCAGCGCCACCATGATGAATCTAAAAATTTATTAAACATCATCCTAAGTCATTTCTGATAAAATGATTTAGCACAGATTCACAACAGCTCCCAAATGAGTTTTAAATTTAACAGATAGTATAATTCTAAATTTATCTAAAGATAAGATCAGTATTGTTCATCACTTATAATTGACCTTCTATCCTTTATCACCACCACGTCAACTCACAGAAGCACCATGCAAGGAAGTAAATGGAATTTGTTTATGCAACAACTAACAGTTGGGAAATATGTACTTCAAAGAGATAATACTGAGTCCCTCTCTGTCATAGATTCATAGTGCAATTTAATTCTCTATTGAGCAACTGTTTGTAATGGAGAACAAAATTTTCTGCATCCTCCATTTACTAGATCTCCAAGCCCCAAATCCAAGGTCATCATACCCACCACTTAAGATATGAACATGAACATGTATGGACGTCCACATAACATGACAAGAAATAATACAACGCCTAATGCACTCTACTTCACTACAGTAAAATAAATAAAATATAAATGATTAAAACTAGTGGACATTTACCACAGCACTGCATCGTAAGAAAAGCCAGTCATGGGGGCAATTGTCCAGTAAATACACAAAGTTCTTTGGTTCTGCCACTGAAAATACATAAGTACATATTCACTCCCATAATTTTAATAGAATCCCAAACATAAGCAGAAATTAGGATCTGATGTACTTTATATAATCAAGATAGAACTAAGACTTACAATTCCCAAGACCTCCCCAACCTTTATTGATGATGCCTCTCTGTCCAGTTATTTCCAAAGCTTTTACTATTGTTTCAGTCATCTTCTCTGGTTCTTGAACAGGCTGCATGAATTGAGAACAAAAACAATTAAGTGAATAACAAACACGAACTGAATAGTTAATATAAATAATCAGTGATTCAAGGAACTTTACTTTCATGACTCTCATTTTTTAGCATCAAAGGAACTTAATGTATTACAAAACCATGGTTTTGACCAGAGAAAAGAAAAAGAAAAAAAAAAAAAAAGAAAGGGAGTTAATATTTTCAAGCTCCATTTAGTTCACACAAGAAGTGGTTAAGGTAGATTCAGATAACTTTCTAAGTACATCATGAAGAGATATGGTAATCTATAATTGCAGAGTCAGTTAAGGTATCAATGGCAGCGAAAGTAGAGAAATGGTTAGAATTTTAGACAAAGATACAAGAGAAAAAAAAATAACTTGCCAATAACATAAAAGGTACAGACGCCAATTGATTCAGGTGTAATTATAAGTGCATCAGAAATATCTCATTTCACTCATGGACGACGCATATTGATTCAGGTATAATTATAAGTGCATCAGAAATATCTCATTTCACTCATGGACTTTTACAAATCGTACTGAAATAATGTTTCTAATGGATTATTACAAGGCAAACTGAAACAGGTGGAAATAGTTGGAGATAAGTTCCAAAACCTCAAAAAAGCATCATTTAAAGCTAATTAAGAAAGGGTGGTGTGGTGTGGAGAACAAAGCAGCAGTTTTAACTTTTAAAGGAGAGATTGGTCGAATAATTTAAAAGAGATTGGTCGAATAAACTGTAAATTTGAAATCTTTTTCCTGCACCATGAGCACATCAATGGAACAAAATGTAGTAATAAACAATCAAGTTACCCTCAACTCATCTTAATATCGGAAAAAGTTGCAAACAGTAATATCATAATATTTGTGGGAAAAGAAACTCACAAGGCTACCAAAACCAATATAGATAGGCTTTTTACCCTCTTCTAGCCATTTCACAAGTGGATCTGGAGGTTGATAAGTTGAAGCAAGGTCAAGAAAGCAAAACCCCACTACATCAATCTTAGGTCCCCAGTCTGCAGAGCATGTTAATAAAGATAGACCAGATTCAACACCCATCTAATAGCAAAAAACCAAGCATGGAAAAAAAATTTGAAAGAATAAACTATCAAATCCATGATATGCCAATTACTAATGCACAAAATATTAGAGAACAAGAGATAAGAAATGACCATTTGCTACAAGGAGTGTGATGGAATGATATGAAACCATGAGAATTCAAAAAGATAACATTTGCTAAAAAAAATTCATTGAATGAAGAGTGAAAATGCAGAAGCTAGACTAGTAATACAAAGATTTATCGGTTCTATATAAGTACTATAAATAACCTTTTGGTTTCGGAACAAGATGAGGACTCCATATGTACCCATAAGGCACATCCTGGGGAGAGCCCCAGGATCCACTTAAATATGTAACAGGTCTTAGCTTCAGCTTCTTCTTCCTAAACTCATTAATCATGTCTCGTATTCCAAGCCATATTAGTGCATCGACAATTTGATATGAAAGCTGCAGCAGAAATCATGATTATGTAAGTTAATTCAGATATAAATCAAAGCAATAATATTATAAATACACAAGGTTGCTGTGGTAGTTATAGAAGGGTTCTAGGGATGAATGTGAAGCAGTAACAGTACATGCACTCAGATAAAGGCAAAGAAGCTGCAGTAGGCTTTTGAAGCTGATGGAGCATCTACAGTTAAACTTAAATGGCTTGGAAGAAACAAAGAAAAAAAAATCTATAGTAAAACTCAAAGAAGTCCACAAAATATTAATTTAGAGCATAAGAAAAGAAGTTCAAATAAAATAAATGAAAAGAAGACTAGAGAGAAGGAAATTATGTCCTACAACTCATTACATAAATTCCCACCGAGCTGTTTTTGGAAAACTGTGTCACAAAATGAAAAGAAAAACCGAATTTTGTATTTTCAAAATCTAAACTATGTCTACTAGTCTATTTCAAAAGCAATCATACGAGTTCAAAAACAATGAAAATACGACTGGAATTAGTATCTCAGATAAGACTGAGAAAAGTTTTGTAGGTTTTATAATTCTTGTTTACCAGAAACTCTTAAAAACATTTCAAGTCAATTGTTAGTTTGACAGTAGTCTTTGGAGCATAAATTTAGTTATTTTCAAATAAAGGACATGACTTGTTTTTTAATCTACTTTTCTATTGATGAGAAGGTAATAAGTTTGATTTAAACCTTGGCTTTATCATACAATCATTATTCTTTTTACTTGTTAGTGTACACTATGAAGAGTTAGGTTTAAAAGGACGCTTAGATACATTTGTAGCTCTTAAAGCAAATTCTGAAATCAAAAGGGAAAAAAATAATAATATTAATAATGATAGCATAGACTCACTCTATAAGCAACATGTTGCCTAACGCGAGACAAAGGATGGGGGAAATCACTAGTAGGCCTGAAAAAAAGGAGACAAATATTACCAAGTAATTCCATTGAATCAAATCCAAAACTAAACTGGAAACACAAGACATGGTATTAATTCATACCAACAAAGCTATAAAACATGGAAAAAGACAGATGCCCATAACTGCTTGTATCTCTAAAATAAATGTGCAAATAAAAAATGGATGATGCTTGCATAATCCCAAAAAAGAAAAGAACATGCAGCATTAAGATTGTCCAAATAAAACAACACTTACGTCCATGGCATCGTGAAAATTATATGAAGTGGTACTTTTAGTGCCTCAGCAACATGTGTATGACCTGAACAAATTTTGTGCATTTCTGCTGAGTTAATCCAAACAAGATATAAACTGCATAAATGGCATGACAAATATAAAAAGGAAATATCCTTTAGTTTATGTTCATACCATATTACAGTACACATGAAAAATGATACATATATATAAAAACAGTTTAAGTATGTTTTTGTGATAAAAGCTGCAGTAATGTCATAACATTCTTCCCTTGTAAAATACCTATTTGTAAAAAGATGGTGACAAGTGCAGTATGTACAGTAAGAGAAAACAAATAAAAAAGATGGAGAGAAGATCTAACCATATGCTGGAGGATTCGCAATAATAGCATCTGGTTTAAATGGCACAGTAGATTCAGGATCAGGTTCCTTGCATGCGGGAAGTAAAGAAAAAATAATTTCCTTCATCTGATTCCGCTGAATAGGAATTTCTGAGGGTCCTGATGGCAAGAAGCCTTTATTCTTGACCATATCTGCAGAAAACATAGTGATCAAACCATAGTATATAACAAATTTGAACACTTTCGAGGAGAAAGGGAGGGTCATCCAGGGATAAGTTTCATTTATCATAGCTGACTTTTGTTCCACTGCCATTTAATTTAGAATTTTGCTACAATAATGGTTTAAAAGAATTATCTATTAGTTACCCAAGTAAAAACAATGAAACATATCTTTGGTAGCTGCCATCCTCATCAATTGAAGTTCCAAAATAATTCAATCAGAAACAAATATTTTGAGATCATCGATACGACGATACCAATAAGGAAAAAATGGTTGGCGAACAACGTAAATTTTTACACATAACATAAAGGAAAATAAACATACAGCAGCTCCCAAAACTGAGAAAAATAAACTATAAGTAGATATACAGTTATCACACAAATGTTAAGAAATTCAGTTTGTCATACAAATAGCAAGAGATTGTCACAAAAATGATCTACAAGAAAATTTATCATTTAACAGTCTTTTACAGAATTTAGACTTTGCAAATGCTGAAAAAAGTTCACAATCCTCTATGGTTTTACTCCTTAAAACTGTGTCTTCATATTTGAACATAATAATGAGGGAGAGCATCCCTTTATACGAGAAAAGAAGTTCAACTCCTTTTTGAAGTGATAAAAGGATTCTATCATGGAATTTACTATCAAACTAGTTACTACATTACCAATGAACAAACCAAACCAAGTCAAATCTTAAAAACAAGGAAAGGATGACAAAGTACTAAAACATGATGAGAGACTTACATCCAGCAAGAACTTTTGGATCTCCTCCTAAAGGGAAAAACTCCAACCCAGCACTCAAGACGAAGTCTTTGAAATTTGAGTGAGTTGCTAGTCTAACTCTATGGCCATCTTCCTGCATAAAAAATATTCCCCTACATAAACTCATATGCTCCTTGCTATAGTTCAAAGAACATCTCTTCAGACATATGTCCAGCCAATCCATCTCAAGAAGAAGGAGTAGTAGAATAAATAAAATTACAGCAAATACAAATAACAGACCCAGACAAGCATACCCACATAGCAGGATCAAGAACCATATTACTGAAAAAATTACAAAGCCAAAAAGTGCTATAACCTGTAAACGTTTTCCAATCGCAACAAATGGTTGTACATCTCCTCGTGTTCCAACAATAAGCATTACTATTTGCAATGGAGGTACATCTTGTACAGCTGTGGCTTCAGCAGTTTCTTTGTCAGAAGATCCATTATAAACAACTCCAGTTCCAAAATCAAGGCTTTGCGGTTTAATATCTCCTGGAACTTCAAATTGTACAGTCCCATCGGTTTTGACAGTAGCAAATTCTTTCAAACATTTTAGCTGCAGATTTTATTTTCAATTAAAAGTCAATTTCCAATCTCAGACAATTAAGATAAAGAAGTTAATATGTCAGCATAAAAAAGCAGCAAAATGTCCAATGAATCAAAACTCTCACAAGGAAATTATGAGAATTGCAAAGATAATTTATGAGAATACATGCATGAAAGGAATGATGATACATATGAACATAAAAAGTAAATAACAATAATAAAAAAGAAGAACAAGAAAACCCAGTATAAATGCACCACCCTCATCATCTCAACAGATCAGTTAACAAAAAGAACTCCACATAGAAATAATTAATTGCACACAGTTATACCAAATCAAGGGCAATGATATATTAAATGTACAAGCAAAGAAACAGCAAATGTGTACAATGCTAAGAACATAACAAATGGAAAATAAATAAGCAAAAGGAGCATAAACTAAAACCAAAACAGATCCCAATCCAGCATAAAACTACTTGAAAAGACATTGCATTTTAGCATGAACAAAGATTTAAATTGTACCAAAATAAACCATTACTTAGCAAATATCAAATTATTATAAGATCAAAACGGTCCACTATATCATAATACAAAAATCAAGGATATTAAAGGAATTCCATCTATATCATAATACAAAAAGAAGGGTATTAACGGAATTTACCAGCAAACCTAATAAAAACAAGTAAACTAATACAGATGCTCTAAAAAGAGAGGGGTCTTTTAATTTACCAAACAACTAATTGGCTTTATTCTATGACAAACCTAAGGGACATTTTAAAAAATTTAAAAATACATGTCCAAGAGTAATTCTATCTAACCATCCTTCAGAAAAACCTTCCGCTCACACACAAGCATAAAGACTTGGATTCATGCCAGCAAGAAAACTCAATAGACTAAACTCAAACTGGTGATAATACAAGGGCATCCTAAAGTATCATCGTTATCTAATGATATGAGAAGTGTAAACCAAAAGTTAAAGTTGCATTCTCGTATATTTCTCGCTAAGTCCTAAAAATGATGTTTATTATATGGTATCCCATTTTTCCTTCGTAACTTCTAAAAATTACATCATTTAAAAGAATATAAATCAATCACTTACAGAAAAAAAATTGTACAACCCTGTAACCATTCAATCATAACTTAAACAACTAAAACTAACAAAAATGATAAGAAGTTGAACCTTTTTCTTGAGAGGAACTGTATCATCAACCAGTTTGGCTGCCAACATAGATAATTTACGATTATTTCCATTTTTCACAGGTTTTACGGCCTGGGTGGAAGTCAAAACCGGCTTTTCAGGAGTAGATGTCGAAACCAGCTCTTCAGCAGTAGATGTCGAAACTGGCACTTTGGCAATAGATGTCGAAACCGGCTCTTCAGCAGTAGATGTCGAAACTGGCACTTTGGCAATAGATGTCGAAACCGGCTCTTCAGCAGTAGATGTCGAAAACAGCTTTTCAGCAGTAGATGTCAAAGCCGAAACCGGCTTTCCAGCAGTAGATGTCGAAACCGGCTTTTCAACAGTAGATGTCAAAACCGGCTTTTCAGCATTAGATGTCGAAACCGGCTTTTCAGCAGTAGATGTCGAAACCGGCTTTTCAACAGTAGATGTCAAAACCGGCTTTTCAGCATCAGATGTCGAAACCAGCTTTTCAACAGTAGATGTCGAAACTGGCTTTTCAACAGTAGATGTCGCAACAGGCTTTCCAACAGTAGAAGTCAAAGCACCGACAGACGTGTTATGCCCTAAGAAAAACACAATACATTCAAAATTCAACAAAATATAATATCCAGAACCCACCAAAAAAAAATCTGATGAACAACATCATAGACCCTCCCATATATTTCACTATACCTAACATCCCCTACATTTTAAATATGAATATTAATGTAAAAAAAACTTAAGAGAGTGGATCAGAAATCCACTACTACAAAAATAACACGTCTAAAAAGGGACTAAAGCTTTACAAAGAGTATAATGAGCCAGTGCAAAAAGAAACCCAAAAAAAAAAAAAAAAAAGGCGACGCTATGACATGGACAAATACTAAAAAATAGAATCATCATAATACATGAAGAAATAATGCCCTGTTAAATCTAACATTTATATTCTCTAATCATGCTAAATTTGAATTACTTATAGCTTCAATAACTTCTTTTGTGATTTTTCAAACATGCAAAATTGAATTTCTACATTGAATTTTTTTGTACATATTAAGTTTAATATATCAAGCATAATATTAAGATGTTTACACTTTAAACTATCAATAATACTAATCTCACAAACATCTCTCACTAACACCTCTCACTAACCCCATATGGCAGCTCGCAATTGGCTTGGTCAGGGAAGACCTATTATTGGGTAGGCAGGACCCATGCGAGCTAACCAATTACAAGCTGACACGTCACGTTTGTGAGAGAAAATTAAAAGAAGTATTTGTGAATGTAGTATTACTCTTAAACTATTATTTTACCATTTTTTACTACTTTACTCCAAAATGCATTTTCACTATTTCCATTTCATTCTTGAATTTTGTAACTTCTAATTTTAATTTTTGAATCATTTTTTAAAACAAAAAACAAAAGAACATTACTAAAGGCCACCTAAATTTCACCACAACCTTCCTCATTTACAATATAAAAAATTTCTTCATAAACCTCTCCTAAAAGTTGAAATTTCTAAATTTCATCACAACCTTCTGCAAAATTTCGTCATAAACCTGTCCCAAAGTGAGAAATTCTAAATTTCATCACAAACTTCTCTAGTCACAATACTAAAATTCCTGTCATCTACCACTCCAAACTTCAACTTTCTAAATCACGTGGTTCTCCGTTTAAAATATCAAAATTTTATCATAAACCTCACTTAAATTTAAAATTTATAAATTTCATCACAACCTTCTCCATTTAAAATATAAATATTTCATCATAAACCTCTTCTAAACTTAAAGTTTCAAAATTTCATCATAACCTTCTCCAGTTATAATGTAACCAGTTCGCCATAAACACCTCTGAAAGTTAAATTTATAAATTTTCATCTCAACCTTCTCCGATCACAATATAAATTTTCATCTTAAACATATGTTAAAATTTCTATTTTTCAATACAATCTTCCCGGTTACAATATTCAATACAATCTTCCCGGTTACAATATCAACAGTTCATGTAAACCCTCTCCTAAAGTTAAAATTTCCAAATTCAATCACAAGTTTCTCTTATTACATCTTTAAAAAATAAATAAATAAATAAATATGGATCGTAAATCTCCCTAAACTTAAATTTTCTAAGATTCAACACAAACTCCTCTTGGTATTAAAATGTATTTCAGCAAATAAAACCCTAAAATCTACTTACTAAACATTTGATCTTAAACCTTCCCTACATATAAAAAATTTCTCTACTTTCCTATTAGTTTTCCACTCAAAACCTAACCCTAAAACCCATCATTTTCAAAGAAATTATCGCCACATTTAACACACGCAAAAAATAATAATATTAATAATAAATGAATAAATAAATAAAATCGATGGAATTAAACCAACGTAAAAAAGGTGTTCAATGCGAACAAAAATATCCAAAACCCACGTGTTAAAATAAAGCAAAACCTGAAGGCTCACCGCCATTTTCATTCTCGCCTTCGATTTCGATCTCAAACTCAACGGGCACATCGTTGCCGCCGTGATTCTCCATCAAAACGATCAGCTACGATAAACGACACGATACGACACCGTTTTTAAACAGAAATGTGGTTCATTGCGCTCATGCGTTGTACAGGTAGGAGACGCTTTTACGCTTAGCGAATGGGAAATGAATCGATTCGATTTTAATTTCTTTTCTCTTTTTATTTTTCTCTTTTTTTAACCTTTTGTTTTGTTCATTTTCTCGGGAAAGTTGAGCAGGAATTTGAATACAGAGAGAGACACACTGGGTGGTGCCACGTGGATTTAAGGATAACAGAAATTGCGACACTTGTAGGTGTATGGAAATAGGAAATGTTGGTCTGTGACGGAGAGATTTATAGCGCCAAATAATGAGTTTGTAATAACTAATTCGGTCACCTAATTTTAAATGTATTTATTGTCCATAAATATAAAGTTGTTAAAACTAATTATTTGTGAAGGAAATTGTCAAAATCTGACCACAATTAATTAATTGATTAATTAATAACTATTTTTCATCATTTAAATTGATAAAAATCTAGTCTATTTTATATTAATAGGATGAAAAAAAAAAAGTTATTTAATGGGAATTAGGAAATTTTATAAGTTTAAATAAAAATTATTTAATTGACACTCATAATATTTTTTTATAATAGGATTGATGAGGCTGAATCATAAGTAAATAGAAAATAAAATAAATAAAAAAAGTAAAAGCAATTTTTATTATATCATTTTTTATTTACTTTTAAATTGTTTATTCTATTTTTATTTTCAACTTTTACAAGTCATTGGTTGTTAGAAGTTGGATGCCACCGGAAATTGCTTGCATTGGAAGATTGTCTTATAGTGGAAAATTTTTTTAATAAAAAATTCATTTTCCCTATATAAATAATGGGCTTTGTTGCTCATCTCGTGGAAAAATATCTTACTTTGAGTCCTTTTTTAAATAAATAAATAAATGTATTTTGAGTGAAAGATGTTGGTGTGAAACCCGAAAGCAAATCCGTAAAATTTGTGCCTAAAACGGACAACCTTACTCAAATTAAACTTGGGTTGTTACAACTGATATCTGAATGTATTCAATATTCAACAACGCATAAAGTCTTCTTAATTTAGTACGTGTTTATTATGAAAGATAATTAAATAAAGCTGAAAAAATAAAACCGTACTAGTTGAGCCCAAAATAGATAAAATTTCTACTCAGTTATGACCAATCGTTATTATGTATTTTCAACTTTTTTAGTATTTTATTGTTTCTATTTTTAACTTGTAATCTTAGTCTAATTTTATTCCCATCCTTTTAGGATAAGGCAAATACTCATTTTAATTATAGAAATTTAAAATTGTTTTATAAAAAAGTAAAAGAAAGTAGACTGTGATTTTCAATTTAGATATTTACATTCCCTTAAAGTTTTATTTTATTTGTATTTATTAGTTAATATTTACGTACAATTCATGAATTCAAATCCTACATAGGTTTTCCTACCGTCCAGGAAAGCAACATTGTTTTCCTCCTAATAATTGCTAGTGCCTTGAAGACAAATGAAAAGTAATACGAGGCTCAGTCAGAACCCAATCCCACAATATTCTCTTACAATCTCAACGTGATAGCTAAGTTAGAAATTATCACATCAGCTTCCACTATACCTAAGACACTAAATAATTTTGACTAGACATGAATGATCGTTTTTTAGGGACGAACGACCATTTTTTTATAGGAAATGATTGTTTCTTATGAAAAAAAGGTCGTTCCTTATAAATGAAACAATCATTCCTTATGAATTAATGGTCATTTGTTCCTAAGGAACGATCGTCCATATTTAGTAAAAGTCGTCAGTTGACGTGGTAGTACCAATTTTGCTATCACGTTAGGTTGTGAGATTGGGTTATAAACATAATATTTTTGGTGCCTTGAATGCATGCCATCGTGTTGGAGTTCGAGACGTTATTGATTAATTTTTCAAATATTGGGGGTTATTTGATTAAAAATGTCATACACTATGTTTGGCTTACTATTTTTATCCAGATTCTGGATCCTATTCTCTAAATAACGTTTGACACATTATTCCAAGAATATTACCCTATTTTTTTAATTACTTTTAGACCCCATAAGGTTATTAATTTCATCAAATACACCCTAAAAAAAAGTTTAAAAATAATCAAAAACACCCCCGCAACCCATACTCGCCAGATTCCGGCAACCACCATCGGTGGTAGCCGAAATCTATACAACGGCCAACCTGCCGACCATAAATGGCCGGAAGTTCACCGATCTGGCATTTTGCGGCCAGATCCACCACGGATTTGGCCGGAAAAGGCCAGATATTGCCGTGAACGACGGCCAAAGAAATGGCCATCGTTGACCGAAAACGACGGCCATATCTTTGGCTGTCGTTTTGGCCTTTTTCGGCCGTCGACGGCCACGGCAGGCCGTAGATTTGGCCTTTTCCGGCCAGATCTGTGGTGGATCTGGCCGGAAAAGGCCAAACGACTCGTTACGACACAGATCCGACCTGTCTGTGTCGTAACGCGATTTTTCGACCAGTTTCTGACGGTGGTGGCCAGAATCTGGCATTGCAGGTGATGGGGGTATTTTTGTCAATTTACATGTTGGGGTATTTATGAAATTAGCAAACTTAGGGGGTTTTTCTATAAATTTTTAAATTTTACCTCATAATACTCCTATATTCAATTATCCAATACTATCCCTAAAATTCTACCCAAAATAATAAACCAAACGCATACTATTATTTCAAAAACTATGAGGGGTAAATTAACTTTTACTCTTATTATTAATTATATAAGTTATATTTTTAATATTTTTTGAGTTTATTTAATAAGTTAAAATGTCGTAAATATCCTCATCCAACTTCATGAATTTGACACCCTTTTTTCTTAAATTAAGATCGCTTTTAGTATTTTTCTACAAAAACAAATTTGCCTTTTTAACCCTTAACAATTTTCCTAGGGTAATCCTCATAAGCTTTGTTTAGGGTCCGCTTATGAGTTTCATGGTAGCGGTTATGAGGATAAATCACCGTAGTGGTTTTAAAGATAAACTATCGTAACAGTTTTGAGAGGTTTTTAGTAGTGGGTGCTTGGGAGTTTATTTTCCAAAGATTCTAACAGTTTTTTAAAATGATAAATTTACATATATACCCATAAAAATACCTCAACTCTAAGGGCATCTCCAACTTACTCCATTTTGGTGTGAAAAACACCAAATGATACAAATTTGAAGTCCAACCCAGCGTTATTCGCTGCGCCAAATTGGCGTGACACTGTAGCCCCACACCAAATTGGTGTGGGGCTAAAGCACCATTAAAATTTTTTTATTTTTTTATTTTGTTAAGTTAATTTGATTATTAAATTTTACACCAAAAATCACACCGAATTTGATTATTTGTATTTAACTTAATTTGATTATTATTTATATTAATATTTATAATAATAAATTCATAATAATGATATAATTCAAAAAATGATGAAAAAAAAAAAAAAAAAAACTTTATTCAATGCAAATAATAAACTAGAATAACTCAAAATAAAAATTAACGCTAATTTAAAAACACTAAAATTAAAAGAACAGATGGAAGTGCCAACTTCCGAAGTTGAAATTGTCGTAGATGAAAATGTCCAATTTCAAAATTTTCTTGCTCGACATAGACAAATCAACGATACAGAGGCTCACCGTGCTCTTCGAAATGCATTAATTGATTATTTGTGGGAAAAATATACTAATTTAGAAAATTAAATTACTATCAATATGGAATTTTACTTTTGTGTAATTGTTGTCTTTTTTTTTTTTTTTTTTTGAGTATCATTTTATATTTATATTATATTAGATGTAATGTTTTTCTATATTAATTGTAATATTCATTTTATTAAATTAGTATAATTTTCAAAGTAATTATTATTTAATAGAAATATCATCCCTAATATTTAATTAATATATATAAAAATAATGAGTGAAATAGATTAATTGTTGGTTATTACAATAAAAGAAAAAGAAAGAGAATATTCTAAAGAATATTCATTTTGGTATAATATTCGGTGCAATGGGTTGGAGCCTTGGAGATGGTCTAACTAGTACTTGGAGTTTTGTTTTTTCAATTATAAGGTAAGAGTTCTTTATTTATTTTCTACTCATTAGTATTTTATAACTTCAAATGTGATAAAGTCTTCTTATCCTTATTCGTTATTCTTTGTAGCATCTGAAATAATTGAAAAATTGTTACTCCACTTCTTCAGAAAGCATCTAGAAATGAGTTTTTAATAATTTTTTTATTGCTTAAAATTATTTTATATTTAATATGGTTGAAGACATGTATAATATGATTAATTTTATTTTAGATATAATTGAGATAATTTTATAGTAAATAAGATATTTATGGAATAAAATTTTAAAACCAGTCAAAATACTCTAAATTGAGGTGTTTTTAAATCCCTCAAAAATTTACTACACTGATTTTAAGAGGTTTTTAAACTAATCAAAATCGTATAAAAAATCTGATAAATAATAATTTTAAAACATCTTAAAACCAGTTAAATAAAAAACTTCTCAAATCGGTTAAAAAAAAGTCCGGCGCAGACCCTTAGAAAAACTGTACTAATATACCCCCGATAATTTCACCCAAGAAGCACTTATAAAAAGCGAGAGAGGATAAGAATCTTCGCTTGTTTTCATAGACTAGTACTTAACATATCAATCTGATCTCCGAGCGAGTACGGCCCCATGTGGAGGGCTCATTATCAGAAACTGGGTCCCGCTTAACAACATTACGTGGCATTTTTAACTAAACTGACGCGTTAAAAAGCACGTGAAGCACAAGTCTTCTGAACCGAATGACGTGGTCGCCATGCACGCATTCTGTCAGTTCACTGTTCACACGTGCACAGTGGCCAAGGCGTGTGAGTTTGATAGAGAGAGCAGACGTGGGCCACGGTTAGTGTATTGTAAAGTTGTCTCTTTGAAGGAAGGACATGTTTGGGAGGTTACTAAAAAAAATGCTGAACAAATAAGTACTTTTAAAGAATGTTTATTTTGTTTTTAAAGTGCTTTTAAAAATGCGGAAATTACTTTTAATTAAGGAGGACATTTTTTTTTTCTTAAGAGGTTCGATTTGAAATTTCTCCAAATTTATTTTATTTAACAGTGAAAAAATGCTTTATATCCAAAGAATTTCCAAATTTTATTTGTAAAAGTGCTTTTATAGATAATATTTCAAAATAAACCTTTTACCAAATTAATATAAATTTTTCAAATAAGTTTCCATTAAGTGTTTATTTAAAAAGTATTTAAAACATTTTTCTTATAAAAGAACATATTTGTTATAAAAGAACATATAAAAACTAGAAAACATTACCCACTCATTGGTAGCCTAAGGGTAAGGCGAACTAAAGGGTTATAAATGGTACAACCTATAGTCCTGGGTTCGATTCCTCCATTGGGGGCAAAGGTGCCCATGATTAACCTAAAGTTAATTGAGGTGTATTAAGTTGGCTGGGATATTTTAGTTATTTATATATATATATATATATTATTAACAGAAACATGAATTTTTTTCCCTATTATTATTAATTCAAAATATTTTTTTTACAGTAATGCTAAGTCTATAACACAATCTCACAACTCCGATATGACAACTCGTAATTGGACAATCAGGACCCATAGCAAATAGACGGGATCTATTTGCGAGTTGACTAATTGCAAACTGTGATGTTGGGGGTTATAAGAAGAGATTGTGAGATTGAGTTGTTGTAGACCTAGTTACTTTTTTTTTTTTTTAATGCATTTATAACCTAATATTATCAAAAAGATGCATAGTATATTTCAACTTGATGATTAAGAGGGTTTCAAGTTTTCTAAGTCATCACTCCATATATTAGGTTAGTTCCTTCAATAAATGATATTAAAGCAAAGCCCCATAAAAGTTCTTAATTTGATAGACTTGGTTGTTCGAACCCTCGTCATCCCATTTCATTAGGAGAGATTGTTGTGTTCCTAATGTGACGGAGTAGATTAGTTTTCTTATGTGGTGAATGCATAACCTTCAATAATTAGAATTTACGCAAAACCATAGAAGTTTCTAATGTGATTGACTTGGTAATTTGTACACTTTTTATCTCATTCGAGAGAGAGATTGTTGAGTTCTTATATGACGGACTTGATCATCCAAACATGAACATAGTTATTCAACTAACGAATGTTTTACTAAAGATAAAAGTTATTAATTTATAAAACTCTGATATGGCTAATTAATGATCACTCCATCAAATTATCTAGTCTTTTTGAGTTGGATACTTCTAGACGACTTTGATTACAATGCGCCATTTTTGACCTTACAATTTTACAAATTGCACATTAATATATCATACAATCATACATGATAACAAAACCCCTCTAGGCTTCTAACATTGTTCATGTATCTTTCCATTACAAATTTAATTTCAAACACAAAATACATTGAATGAATCACTTCCCTACAAAATAAATTAAAAAAAGAAAAAAGAGAAAGAGAAAAACACTTTCAAAGTTGTTCAAAACCACTTCCAAAATCACTTTTCAAAGTCCCCAAACACACCTTACGCTCTCAGTCTCTTTTCTTCTCGATAACAAACAAAAAAAAAAAAAAAAAAAAAAAACAGCTCACTGTTTGGTTCGTTTTGTTTTATGCACAAAGAGAGAGATAAAGACAAACAAATACAAAGGAAAACAAGCAAAACATTTACAGCACACAACTCGAGCACGCGCAACTCAAAACCGCTACTTTCACTTCACTTAACTTCAACATGCCTTCTTCGCCGCACCGCCGTCGTCGCTCCGCGCTGCCGTCTCGTCCGCCGTACGGTTTGATCATTCTCCATTTGTTTGTGGTTTGGTTCTTGTTTGATTGTTTTTCGAGTTCTAAGTTCACATTTGTTTGGCTGCTGAGAAAGTTCGAGAAAATGCAAAAGGGGAAATATGAAAAATAGAATAGGAAGTTGAAGAATTGAGAAATATTGTTTACTTTGATCATTCTCCATTTGTTTGTTGTTCTTGTTTGATTGTTTGCTCAAGATTAAGTTCATATTTGTTTGGCTGCTGAGAATGTTTGAGAAAATGAGAAGGAGAAATAAAAGTGGAATAGGAAGTAGGAGAATTGAGAGATATTGAGTGAGAAGTGAGATAAAGATAGTTTTTTTTCTCTGATCAGTTTCCATTTGTTTGTTTGTTTGTCTATCTTATTATTATTGTTGTGGTTTCATTGTTTGCTCAAGTTCTAGATCACATTTGTTTGGCTGCTGAGAAAGTTCGAGAAAATGAAAAAAAGATAAAGAAAAAGAAAAAGAGAATAGGAAGTAGGAGAATTGGGAAATGTTGAGTGAGAGGTGAGACAAGGGATAATTTTTTTTTTGAGCTTTTAAATGCAAATGTGATTCAAGACTATGTGTTGGATTAATTTTTTTCGTTTTAGCTTTTTGGCTGCTTATTTTTGGGAATTTAATTAAACGTTTAGGTTTGTGGTATGATAAATAAGGGAAATTCTAGCTCACTTGAACGTAGTAGTGCTAAAAAATTGTGAAAGTTGTAATATTGAATGTAAAAGTTTCAATGAGAATGCAGGACTCTTAAAATATTAATTCTGTAATGTTTTCATTTGATACTTACTGGTATTTTATGACTGCCTGAGTAATGAATATGATAGCTGTTGAAGTTTTATGGATGCCAAGTAGATTTAGTATCAAGCATTTTGACTGTGTATTTAAGTTCATTGCGAGTTGTTGTATCTAGGATGTCAATTTCATTGTTTTTGAGTTGGATTTAGAGTTTATATTGAGTGGTGAATTTATTGAGAAACTGGAGCTGAAAATGCATGATCATATGTTGAGCTACTTATGAAATAAGCTGCGGTATATTTGTTTTGATAAATTTCATTGACCTTTCCGCAGGTTTGACTTAGTTTGGGTTAGTAAATTGATAGAATTTTCTGCAACTTACAAAAGTGTTCTCATCTTTAGTTGATGCTGCCTCCTGATTTCAATGAAGAAATAAAATAAGATACTGCATTAAACTTTGAAGACATAGAAGCATAGAGTGAAGCCAAATTTGAATTTCAACCAATGTAGTGAAACATCCTCCCCTATTTTGATTGTAAATAATTCTCCTATTTCTCTTAATCCAAGTTATCCAAAAGATGGTCATCATTATACCTTACACAATCACACAAACAGTCCCTTAGGCATTACTTCTAAATAACTATTCTTGATCTTATACTAAATCACAAAGATGGTGTGCCAACGTGTGACAGGCTTTGATCTTATACTAAATCACTATTCTTGAGAAATATTAAGTTGCTTTTTTCATGTGGTTAGTGGTCATGCTTGTTTATTTATTGCTTCTTAAATCTAGTTCAATGAGTTTTGTCTGCCCCAATGCTTTAACTTTCAAAAGAGGTGTCCTTGGGCATAGAGATTACTATTTTGTTTTCATTTTCATTTACTTTTGGTTGCACTTGTACTACTTCTTTCTCTTATAGTGTGGTAAGTACTTTCATATCCTTATCTATGTGTTTCCTTTAGCTAGTGTTTCAGTGGTCTTATTTACTTTTTGACTCAATTGAAAGTTTCTGTCTTTGCAGATCTGTGGGTTGATGATGTGACAGTATGCAGTGGCCTCCATTTCTTTTTCATCATAGAAGTTTGTTCTGGTTCATTTCTTGATCGGACATTGTGACAAGTGCTTCCTGAGTTCAAAATGTCAAGCAACAGAGTTTTTTTAACATACAACAGAAGGAGGGTATCATCAAGAACTGGTCTTGGCCATGGAAATGGCTGTTGGGATTCAATGTCAAATGGTTTAAGTGACGCTTTGATGACTGCATCAGACAAACATGATGCACCAAGTGAAAAGTGCCTCAGAAATGGTTGTTGCAATTCAATCTCTAATGGTTTAAGTGACACTTTGATGACTGCATCTGACAAACATGATGCACCAAGTGGCAAGCATGTACCAGAAGATCAAAGAACAAATTCAATGGTGTGAATATCAAAACTTGAAATATTTCAACCTTGGTTTACAATGGATTAATGTTTTTTCTTTCCACTGATTTACCTACCTCATTCTCTTTTTAATATATATTTTTATCGTTTCCTATAAAAAAATAAGTGGAATGCTGGCCGCACACTGATGGTATCTCTGTGATATTTAAATATAATCATCTTTTGTTTCATTTTTACTAATGTTAAACTACATGCTGTACTACTTTTCTTGATGAACTTGGATCTTAGATGGTTTATAGAGTTATAGTGCCCTTATGCTCATTGTTTGTTTGAAGGTTTATATTTTTTGGTGGAGTTTATCACTTTGGTTTCTTTCTTTTCATTTTGTACTTCATTCTGACTTTTCATTCATGCCTCAAATAGAGGTTGCTCTGAACGTCTTCACTGCATATCTTCAACAAATCTTAGCTTGAAAATGTTTGACTTAGATAAGGACAAAATTCTTTTTTTCTTATCATTTCCTGTTTAATTATAAATACTTTTCATTTGTTCCTCCTCTACTCATTGCTGTATTTTCAGCAGATTTCTCTCGAGTGTGTTGTATGTGGTGCCAGAGACAACTTATTGCAATGTGATGACTGCCATCAAAGTTATCATCTTCGGTGTCTTGATCGGTCTGTGAAGGTATTTCCATTATACTTTGGCAAAAATAGTCTTTTTTGGCATCCATATTTAGTTACTGACTTGTCTTTTCTTGGTTCCTGTCCTGTATCTCTCCTTTTATCCTCTTGGTCTCTCTCCCAAAGCATATTCGTCTTGGGAAAAGGCTATGCTCTGATTGTTTTGTAAAAAAATCTCAGCCGGTCCGAAAATCTAGCAGACTGAAGGCAAGGAAGCACATTCAAGGATCTAATGTGCTGCAAATGACAGTTAGGTCTCAGAATCTTGGTGAGGGTCCCTCAAGGACTGACACTGGTGAATGGTCTTCTGTGGATATCTCATCCAAAAATAAATCAATTGACTTTCACAATGGTTCATGTTCCAATGTGAACTATTCTTCTGCAAGTGATAATGCATGCTCTGAAAGTAGATTGGTTTCTCAGTCAATGGGGATGGAAACTGCACAGAGCTTAAATTTTATTGGTTCAAAATCAGCTGATGAAAGCAAAAGTAGCTTGCCATGTGATGATGGCTCTTCCATGTCAAAAACATTAAACTTGGGAATCTCCACAGATAACTTCACCAACTTATCCAGTGATTTGCATGTGCAGAGGAAAGTGACCACTCCATTGATTACTTTCAGTCGGAAAAATAAAAGGAAAAAAGATTTAGATCAGGCTGATGCACTGAAGGATTCATCTCCCATGGAGAATAGTGGTTCTTTACTAACCAGGTGGAGTAATTATACTCGTGTGAATACCTCTTCTTCTGAAGCAACATCTCATAAAGGCAGATCAATAGATCATTCAGGACGTATGGAGCTACCAGGGAAAAATCCAGATGGTGGGCATCTTTGTTGCAACCAAGATAAAGTATGCCCTTGTCCCTACTACCTTAACATGCTTCTTTGTATGCATGCTTGCAAATGTTTTTAGGTTTCTTTACTTATATCTGGAAATTGAAAGACAAACTATGAAGATTCATTTGACTTTGTAATTAATAGTGATGAGATGTGGTATTGCCCTGTAAATTTTATAATTAATACTATCATTATACTTTCTTTCTTAGATGTACCACAATGATATATAGTCATTCAAGGCTGTATCTTTGTTCATTTAGGTGGCTGCGTGACTGGCATGGAGCTTGAAGAGGGGAATAACAATATAAAGATTGTCCATTAGTCTTTCCTGTGCTCTTATTGTATTCAGTTAATTTTATTGGTATCCCGTTAATAGGAGAGTTCTAGGGAGAACATTTAGGAAATAGGTCTTGTTCAGATATTCTGATAGGTGATTAGATGTTCATACGTCTTCATCTATGTAAAGGGTGGAAAAGACACTTTAGATTATATTTCAATTAATTCAAGTTTACCCTGTACAATCAATCAGTTGATTTCCACTATCTAGAATTAAATCAGTGGATTCTTTTTGAGACTTCAGTTTTGATTTTCTTGAAAAAGTATGATTATTAGAACTTCCTCAAAATTATAAGTACCAGTCATTGTGGATCCAAACTACTGGAGAATTTTCTATTCCTCAAAATATCATAGTGGATTTTCATATTTGCCATTGCAATATGAGAAAGATCCAAGACTAATATAATAACATTTTGTAAGCTGTTTGCTCAGAACTTTTTTTTTTTTTTCCTTTTCAGGGAGGAATCTGTCTAATATAGGGGACTTCTGGTTCACTATTATACTTTTCTTTATTTTAATATATTCATTATATTTTCTCTCATTAAAAAAAGCAGAAAAAAAATTCTGAATCATTGGAGTGTGTCACTACATCCTTATAATGTTCGGTAGAATGAAGTGTTGAAGTAAATAGCAATCTGTATCATTCCAAATATCATGTAGAATATATTTCTAAAATTATGTGGTATCTATGTGACAAAGAAACACATGTAGAAAGCAAACATTGAAACTTATGATGAAATAGGGGGCATATCCTCTTTTTCTTGCTCCATACAGCAGCAAACTTGTGGTGATATGTACTCCAAAAGATAAAATTACTTGTCTATAATGTGCCAGTCACTGAATTTATTTAATTTGTGACAGATGAACGAAGTTCAATCTTTAGATGGTGATGCAAGACCTGTCTTGGAAACTAGGAAGTATGTTCACATAAACTCTACTAGTTATTACACAAATCATATTACTTAGCACTGTATTGTCTAATTATATGTTTCTCATTTTAAGCAGTTTGACATGTGAGGATAAACTATTACATGATGGCAAAGGCATATCCAAGGATGATTTACTTGTTTCTGGGCAAGAACCATTCCATAGTAGCAAAGTTTCCTTGGATGTTCAAAAAACCTCTTTAAATAACACAGTCAAAGATTCTTCCCCTAATGGCATAACTGAAGATGAAAATTTAGAGAACTGTGAATTTCAGGCATGTGTTGGAGATGAATCTCAGGTCTTGTCCAGTGATGGTGTGAAAGCAACAAGGGTTCCTGAATGTACAAGAGAAAAATTACTACCTTGTTTGAACCATTCTGTTACTTGCCCTGGTACAGTTTATTTTCTTAGCCTTTCAATATGACAGGGCATTAAGTGCCAGATGTATTGCTAGGCAATTCTGTTGCAACCATGAGTTTGCAGGGATGTGCAGACTTTTTATGTTCAAATTGTGATTTTTTTTCAGACTCATGTTGTGCAATGAGCTATTATATTGACATCAATTCGAGTCCACCGAAGCAACCTTCTAATTCTGCACCAGTGGCTCTTTTGGACTCACTAGATTCTTCAAGCAGAAGTCATACCTCTTTATCACATGAAGTGTCTCCTTCAGAATTAATGGATGCAATAAATGAGAGAGGTGGGAAATCTCCATTGGTGCACAACACAAGGGTACCTGCGGAGACATTGATGCTTGTGGATGATGTTGGTGCCAACTGCAGAAATAATCCCGGGTGCTTCATGGACATTGCATCAAAATCCAAATGCCTACGGGTAACTAGATTATGCATCCTATATGTGTTTCTTTAATCTCGTGTTTGTTCGTACTCCTTTTTTATTCTATTCGTCTGTGTTAACTTCATGAAGTTCGAAATTCTTGTTATTTGCTAACTTTAGCGATGCTTTGGTGGCGGTGAAGTTAAACTGAAAATTCTTTTTCATGAACCCAGTTATTTTCGGAAGAAAAAAGCAATGATGTTCCCCCTAGGGTAGTTACAAGACCTGAGGAAAGAACATACATGGTTTCAGAGGAAAGAAACACATTCCAATTAGCCAGTGAAATTAATCCGCCGAAGCAAACTTCAAGCAGATCTTCATGCTTCTTAGATTTATCCTTGCCAATAGAACCTAATTTTGGTGGATGCTCCTCCAAGAATTTCTCCACTACAATGCCATTGCTAAACTCCAGTGATGAATTTAAAGAGTTTATCTACGGTGAAGTGAATCAATCCTCGTTTAGCCAAACATCCAAGCAGAGACACAAGATGGTGCTTGACAGCATCATGAACCGAGCAAGAGCTTTGAATGGAAGAGGCAGTTTTCAAGACCAATTCAAGCCATATGTTAACTTTTGGTCTGAGGAGGAGTTGGATTTTCTCTGGATAGGTGTCAGAAGACATGGAAGGGACAATTGGGATGCCATATTGGGAGACACTAGATTGCACTTCTCTCCATGGAGGGTGGCTGCAGATCTTGCTGAGAGGTGGGAGGAGGAACAATATAAACTTTTGAATGGCACGTCTGTTTCACAATTCAAGTATTCAAAAGCACAGGTTGTTTCTTTCGACTGTAGAGATGCCTTCTTTCATCCCACAAGAAGAGTCCGGACAGAAAATATGATGGATAAAACCCGACTTTCGCTCGGTGGTGTATATGCTCATAGAGATGGCAGTATCTCAAAGAGACCATGTTTTGACTTCGCAAAAATTGAAAGCAGTGGCACTGAACAGCTCCAGGGTCCTATTGTTTATCAAAGGAGGGGCCCTTATACAGATTTTCAAGGGGAAGTATATGATCGGGGATCATGCAATTATTTTGGAAGCAAGAATTTGCCTATATGTGATCCATTATGGAGCAATGACCCTGTTACTTGCTCAATTGTGAAGAGTGATTTGCCCCACTGGCTTAGAGAAGCTGTAACTGCTCCACATGAAAAGCCAGCGGTGCCAACTATTCCTCCAAGGACACTGCAGGTTAGCCAACCTAATTTTGATCCTAGTGAGCCACACTTTGGGCCCAGGAACAGAGTCCACAGTGAATTTTCCAGTTTAAGAGCAAGTGGCTTACAACCATCTACTAGTGCTCATCACAACTTCTCCTCTGGAATAAGACATGGAATAGATGAGCAAAACAAGACCTCTTTGTATAATACAAATAAACCAACTGAATTGATCATCATTGAGAGTGACGCATCTTCGGAAGAGACCATATCTGATGATCATACTTCAAGGCCCTAGGCTTAGTACTGAAGCTTTTGCTAGTGAGACTGTTGCCGCAAGTTGTAGAAAGTAGGTATGTTTATCTGCCGTATGTTTTTGTAGCGTAGCATCTTGTAAATGCTCGTGTGACATCAACTTTTGTTACTGTGCTTTCTGAGCCAAATGTGTAAAAGCCTAGAAATGCTGGAAGACCTTGAGCTTTATTGCCTATTTCATCTATCGCAGAGTTGCGAGAATGAAAACTAGATTTTGTTGCTAGAAATATCAATGAAATCTGTTTTGACCTCAATTATAAGAGTAGCTGCACATTGCATTTTTCTTGATAATATTTTCAAGTTACTAACTTTAGATGTTAATTTGCAGATGTTAAACAACCTGAAAATCCATTGAAATGATATTTCGGTAATATTACTGAGATTTTAATCTCGAGAATTAAACTAGCTATTGCAAAAGTTGTATATACTTTCCACAATCATACATTACTAAAATAAATTGATGTCTAAAATGATGAAGATTCCATATATAGAGGAAATAATTTGCTGTCTGATACTGATTCTTGTCCAGATTCTTCTGCACTGTGCACATATGCATTCTGATCATCGTCTCTCAATGGCTGAGGATCTTGGGAGATTTCTATGCATCTCTGAGATTTTCTCAGTCCTTCGAGCTCCATCGCCACCTCTTTCATGGTAGGTCTCTTTTTCCCTTTCAATCTCAAACATCTCATTGCTAGCTCTGCAATTGCTTGAATTTCTTCTTCCTCGGCTTCTTCCGCTACTCTTGTGTCTAAAACCTCAAGGAGTCTGTTCTCCTTTGCTAATTTGATGAAGTATCCAATTGGGTTCCGCTCTTCTTCGTCTATGGCAAAAGATATTGGTTGTTTACCGGTCAAAAGCTCTACAAGCACAACTCCGAAACTATACACATCACTTTTCTCTGTGAATTGATTTGATTGGAAGTACTCAGGATCCAGGTACCCAAAGGTTCCGCGGACTGCTGTGGTTAAGTGCGTTTTGTCGTCTGGAATAGATGTTGAAGTCCCAAAATCTGAAACTTTCGCACTATACTTTTCGTCCAGGAGTACATTGGAAGATTTGATATCGCGATGAAAAATGGGGATTGAGGCTGCAGAATGCATATAAGCTACTGCTCCTGCAACATCGCAAGCAATTCTGAGTCGATGCACACACGAAAGTGAAGATTCTTGTTCATGATCATGAAGATGATGAAAAAGTGTTCCATTAGGGATGAACTCATATACTAGCGTGGGTACCTCGGTCTCCAAACAACAACCCAGAAGCTTCACGATGTTTCGATGACTGATTTGCGATAGAATGATGACTTCATTTATGAATTGCTCAATCTGGCTTTTATCAATTGCATTTGGTTTCTTAACAGCAACGATACTGCCATCAGGTAACAATCCTTTGTACACAGTACCAAATCCTCCCTTACCGAGAAACCGACTCTGGTTGTAATCGTCTGTTGCACTTTGAAGCTCCTCTGCTGTAAATATTTTAGCTTGTTCACTTCTTCCATAGGAGGACAATCTCTGTTGCAGCAAGAATCCACCATTTTGCTTGAAGAATTTGTACCTTTCTAATCTGGTCCTTCTTTCCCTTAAAAATTTGCATAAATTGTATCCCAATAGAAACATGCACAAAAATCCCAAACCAATGCCAACACCTGAAACAACTAAACAGTTTCAACAATATATATTTTTTTTTATAAAAAGAAAAAGAAAAAAGAAAAAAAACCCCTTGGAAGTCTCTCACAGTTAATTCTTTTATTCTTTTAAATCGTCCACCTTCAAGGTGAGAAATACTTATATGAAATAGTCTCACGATCTCACTTTACTGACATAACGAGACCGTCTAATAATATAACAGCATGTGTCACTGCATATTTATCAATTTTTTGTTGATATGGTGAGAATGTCAAATGATATAACAGTATGCGTCAGTCACACATTTATCAAATTTTCTCTTTCATTTATTTATCATGATTCATAAATGAACAATCTATTATTATTCATCAATAAACGTCATCGTAATAGGTATTTTTGAAAATTAACAATATGTGTTTTTGTTTTATTGGATGATCTCACTACGACAGCCAAGTGAAATAGTGAGATTGTCCAGTTTTTTTATTTTTTATTTTTTATTTTTATTTAGGATAAGTCTGATATGCTTTTAGGCTTTTGAGTAAGAGAGTATAATTACCTAACAGAGTGACCAGCTTGACTGGGAATTTTTTGCTATCAGGTCTGCAATTGAGGCCCTGTTGTGTTCCATCAGCAAGGAAGCCATTGGGACAATAGCAATAGAAATACTTCGGACTTTTCTTGCAGCTTTTCCATTTGAGAGGAATCAAAAGAGGCGTAAAGGGATAAATTGTGCTATTTTTCAACAGCATATTACCCTCCAGGATGCTGTCTTCATCAACCCCAAAACGATTTCCAATTGAAGCAGAAGTGTTACCTTTTTCTACCATATAAGTCAGCAAGGAGCTCACCCCTTCCGCAGTCTGGTTTCGACTTGGACAGGCACATCTGAGCGGCGCCATCAGCTCTGAATCCGGGACAAGTCTCGTTGGGTCATAGTAGTTCTGACTCATCAAGGCCTGGCAAGTTGTGAGGCCCTGGAAAGTGTCATTTGCCAATGAAAAATATGTATTATTTTTCCTGATGGTGTATGCAGCCTTGTGGTGATAAACACTACCGAAGCAGGAACACGAAACCGGGACTATCACAAGCGTTCCGGGGGGCAAACTCTTGTCGTTCGACGAGAAACCGTTGATCAGGGTGATACTAGAGGGTTCTGAGCCTAAAAGACGGGCAATCCTGGAGGGTGAATTGTAGGGTGGGTGTGAGTGAAAGGTTAGAAAAGATTGGCATGCAGTGTTTTCAGGGCCATTACAAAGGTACCCTTTTGAGAGATCTGATTTTGAAGGGGCGTGGGTGCAATTTTTTAGAGTATTATTTGGGTATTTTTGTTGGCAATCAGATGGTTGATAAAACAGGTACATGAAGAAGAAGAAGAAGAAGAAGAAGAAGATTAGTGAATGTGGTTTCATGGTTCTTGATTTTTTTTTTTTTTCTGTAATGAGTTTGGTTTTTGTAATGAACTTATGTTGTTATTGTTTATATGAGAATCATTAGTGGATCTAATCTAGATTTTAATGTGAATAAAATTGGATGAAATTGGGGTTTTTTCTAAAGTCGTAATCAAGTGTGTTCTTGATTGGAATGATGACTTTAGTCATTGTCAGTGAAAAAATTGTAAATACAACAAAATAGCAGCCCTGGACTCGCTGTCACTTTTATTTATTAAAAAAAAAAAGAAAAAAAGAAGAAAGTTATGATTAAAAAACGCGTTACTGCCTTACTGGTCAGCCTCTCTTGCGGCTAAAAAATAAGAACCTTTTTAAGTATAGTTAACATCAATTTATTAAAGGATTTGTCATTCAGTTATAAGGAGGAGGTTTTTTTCTTTATTTTATCTTGAAAAATGTGTGATTCTCGTTTACTTTATGTTACATACAATTTCTAGTCTACAGGCTTGCATGCATGTTAACATCAACCAATACATTGAAAATCAATCCCATTATGTGATACCCAGATTTTTGGTGCAGGCATTTCATCTCAGCAAACATGTTTCACGTGAGCCTTCTTTCACGTGAACTTCTTCTTCATCAACTCAGGAAGTGCGTGAGCTTCTTCTTCGTCAACTCAGAACTGTGAGCTGTAACAGTTTCACGTGAGCTTCTTCTTCGTCAACTCAGGAAGTATGAGCTGTAGCAGAAAAAGGTTCCTGCTGAATCGAAGGGTATGGTTCCTATAGTGAGACAATTAATTAATTAATACTAATTAATTGTCTCACTACATATAGACCAAGATTGACCCTTAGCAAGATATTACGGCCACCCGATAGATTCGGATTCAGCGAAACCGTAGCCTGTCAACGGTATGGTTATTGTGCAATTCAATCCTTTTATCATTTGTTATCTCATAGAGACTGAGGTACATAAATAGTGTCAACCTCAGATATCATCGACATGTTTGTATTTAGTTAATGGACCAATGACCGGAATAATAAATTGGATTGAGCATCAACTCAATCCCACTGTGGCCACATATGTAGTGTCATTGCCATTTACTGAATTACCCAGTGAAATAACTTCTCCCGTACCCAAGAGCGATAAATCCTTTGTCGATTCACCATAGTCTCAATACACTTCTCAATGTAGCCAATCACTACCGCATTGATAGCTTTGAATAGAACTACGTTGTGCTAGTGTCAAACTATACTAATTGGTGCACAAGGCGCTTCGATGATCTCAAGTCCAAGGATCACATACACCACCATCTGTTAGAGGATTTATTCCATAGACACTAGGGTTACCATCTATATGGAATCCTCTGGTGGGTTTGTCCAGTGAACTTGCCTCTAGCAAGCACCCATGCGTTGCACTAGGTCGTCGGCAAATAACCTTGACAAGTGAGATCAGTCACTGCCTTTTGACAGAGTCGTTCAACGCTATGATAGCCTTACCGTATTATCTGTGTCCTTGGTTAGAATAATATTAGGGCTACAGACGTTTCTAGAATGATCACCATATGTGATTATAGGGTTCTCACTATTAAGATTTGAAACACTTGATACCCTCGTCACGGTTCTACCATCCCAAGGACATATATTATTACATATAACTATGATTTACACGATATAGAAGAATATGCCTTTTATTGATAAATAAACATTTATTACAGAGTCAATTTTTACAATCATAGATTGGCTCTAGGGCACCTACTCCAACAACTACACTAATTGAATGGATATTAATGTCTTCCACGATCATCCAAATGAGTAACAAGTCGTGTATGCTTTAACTAAAGAATAAATCATTGTTGCAATTAGACAAGAAGAGAAAGAAAATAATCCTGAGAATGATAGTATGTAAATACAAAAAGCTTCGTGCCATGAAGCTTTATAAACATGCTTGAGAAACTAGAAATATTTTGGCTTCAACAAGAAGGTGTCCATGCTAGCGAGTTATTAGGTACTCGCAAGTTAAAATGTGTGGTAACAACTCTAAAACATAAATCATTGTCTCAAACAACTTTAGATAAATATTTTATTTCAACTTTAACCTTTAATGTAACATATCATATATATATTTTTTTTTGGCAATATATAGGTAATTATTACTATGTAGAGGCAATTTTCCTTAAGACGGGAATTAGAAAAATTATAACTTATTATAATGTAGAGATTATTTTTATTTATAACTATCTCAAATTAGAACTATAATTTTTTATGATCATATAGAATTTATTCCTGTATAGAGTATCTTTATAGAAATGTTTATTATTATGTAGAGGCAGCTTTTCTTAAGTTGGGAATTAGAAAAATTATAACTTATTATAATGTAAAGTTTATTCCTTTTTATAACAATCCCAAATTGAGACTAAAATTTTTTATGATTATATAGAGTTTATTCCTATATAGAAATACCCTATAGATGTTTTACTCTCCCTCTCTCTCTCTCTCTATATATAATATATATATATATATATATATTATATATATTTATATGAGTAAGCTATTTGAATGCCACAATTTAAAAAAATAAAAACTTCCCTGACAATTGATGAAACATCATAATATATGTATTAAACACATCATTTGAGCCAATATTAATTATCAAATAACTGGTTTCCACAAATCTTAAAACATTCTTTTTTTCTTTTGTAACACACTTGAAGAATCAACAAGGTTCCATGGGGTTCTCTAAGTTTCTAGCACTATATGTAGGTGTGTTCAGTTGGCAAGAAGATGCAAGAAAGTGTAATATCAGAGAAATGTTGTAGAATAAAATCTTCAAGAAAAATATGTAAATTCATTCTACCATAATTGGAGGGAAATTCAGTATTGGTCCACATATAGTTGACTATTTATTTTAGTTCAATTTCTTCTTTTATTATCTTTGGATTTCTTATAATATTATACTTATCAATCGCTATAAAATCACATATAGTTTGAACGATACTCATTTTACTAGACAAGTATAAATCACTAGTTGACATAAACTAGAAAATTGGTATAATTGTTATACCTAACGAAAACGTCATTACACAAGTAGAGCGAGAGATAACAAAATATGTCGTAGTAGGTTAAAATTGACGACAAAATAACCAAGAAAAAACAGATTTTTATGTTGAATATGTGAACTGAGGGCAAGTGAGATTAATTGGATAAGAAGAAAATGAGGTAGAGAAAGACAAAGATAGAGACAATTTATGACTTATTTAGTACTCATTGAGCAGAAAATCTGGGTATCACACGATTGAATTGTCATAGAAGGCAGACAGAACTGACTTTTGCTTAAATTATAATGTGTATAAATTTGTATTGAAAATGAACAAAGAAATTATTCGTGGTGAGACTCTATTTTCAGAGTCCATTTTATCAAACTTGATGGAAATATTTAAAGTATATCTTTAAAATAAATTTAGCTGTTCTATGAGTTAGAGGTCGCCACTGCATCACAGTCGACTACCAACCCAGGAACATTACTGGGGAGTAAAGTACGGTACTGGTATTCCCTATTCTTTTAATGTTATAGACTGCTATAATATCACATATATTGTTAAATTGAAAATCAATTCACGTTGCAATCATAAACGTGGATTGATTTTCAATGTATTGGTTGATGCTAACATGCATGCAAGCCTCAAAAGAATCAAGCAAGAAACGACATTCTTCTGTGTCGTTTTTACTTATTTTTCATCTCAGCAAAACATGTTTCACGTGAGCCTTCTTTCACGTGAGCTTCTTCTTCATCAACTCAGGAAGTGCGTGAGCTTCTTCTTCGTCAACTCAGGAAGTGTGAGCTGTAACAGAAAAAGGTTCCTGCTGAATCGAAGGGTTCAAATAGAAAGTTTTGTGTTTGTTTGATATTCTGATGAACGATTGAGATTTAAAGTTGACAAGGATTGTAACAAACTTTACTATAAAGTGTAAAGAGTTGTGTCTTTTGTATAACGAAAAATAATAGTCTCTCATTTTTTTTTTTTAAATTCCAGAAAAGTTTCAGCTTACTCTGTTTCTTGTTTGTTTTTTTCTCTTTCTTACTCTGTTCTTGAGCTGTTAGTGATTTTGATAGGAAATGGCGACAATACATCCGATTAATTCCATTGAAGTTGAAAGCTCTCTCTGATACTGTAATTGTACCATTTCTTGCCTCAATATTTGTTCAAGCTTGAAATAGAACCATGATAGAAAATAACGTTCTCTCTATAATTCATGTATCACGGATAAATATGCAGATGGGTATATTTCTTTTCAACCCTATAAGAACACTATAAATTTCAGTTAGCTCAATCTTCTCTATTCCAGTTGTCTTTGTATGTGAATCGATGCAGTGGTGGATTTCCTTTACGTTTATGTTATGGTATCAACTGTTAATTTATATATGATAATATTATTGTTAATATCATTTTATACAACTTTTTATTTTTTGTCTGTATACACATATATGATCAAATTATCATTCATCTTTTGATCTCTTTTTGTTGGCTGAATTGTTCACCAAGGCAATCCACACTAAAAGTTCCAGGATAGAAGTAAGAAAGTGAGGCTTGAAGAAACTGAAACCGTCTAGTTATTTGAGTAGATGGTGATGGTTATTTCAGTTGCGTCTTTGGCCATGAGAAACATTGTTGTGGTGTGGGAGTAGGGAAGTTATGACGAGGGTATAAGTATAAAGACGACTTTTCCGACTGAGTACGTTGCGTCGTTGTGCACATCATGGGACGACACAGTTTGTTGCTATTATGAATCATAGAATTTCTATTGGTCAACATTCCATACGGTGGTATTGGAAAAATGTCACCCAAACCACAGACGATGATGTCTATTATCAATTTCAATATTTTCTAAAGATCGATGGACTAATTCACTTTATAGGCCTTCAGTGAGTTGCGGTATGGAATGTCAGAATACTCAACCAGGCTTATTAAAGCTAAAATATTTATTTGAATTAGGGAATTCTAATTAGGAATGAGAAATGATTTTTAGCCTCCATCAATTTGATTACTGGCTAGTCCTTGGCTTGTCCTGAGGTAGGAATTCTAACCTAGGGTTTGTCTTGAGGTAGGAATGATGTTGTGTACAGTTGTTCTTAGTCTTA